CCTTAGAAGCAAGCTATGAGTAAAATATTTTCTACAATTTAGCAAAAGAACCCAGCTTAAAGATAATAAGAGGAGAGGGGCCTCATGGTGTCAATCATGCCAACCTTAATTTTCACTATTTGAGTAAACGTTGTGGAACTCCTAGATAGAAACTTAGCCTTACAGTCTCCTTTACTGTAGCTCTATCTGACTTAGGGTTGATCTCTAGAATTGCAGGATAAGTGTGAATTCTGTCAACCCTTAAGTCTGTATGATAAGCAAAGCCAGCACAACACAGTTCCAGGGATTATCATTCACTTTGCTTCATGAACAGCATAAACTGCTTTCTGCTCAAGCAAGTTTGAGATCCAATTTCCTGGTTAAGTGAGCAATGAGTTTATTTTCCTTCTCATGAAAATTTATATTAGTCAATCCAAAAAATGTCCATTGTATATTCAGGTTGTTTCTTTGAAGGGAACAGCTCCCCATTTTGGCAGCCATAACAGCTGGCGGGTGGATGAAAGACCCGAGCTAACATGGGGTTAGCTCGTTAAACATCAATAAGGCCTCGTGCAGTTTGCATCAAGCTTTTGACTCCACATGGTGATTGGGGTGGCTGCAGTCCTGGGCTGAGATCCTGGAGGCCTGAGCTTTCCGGGGGTCTTACAGCTTTGAATATGCAGTATGTTTTAAGATGGGTTAACAAAAAATATTCTGTGCCTTCTGTGGGGTTTGTTTGAACTCTGCGATATATATATATCGCGATATATATATATCGCAGAGTTCCCACTGAAGGGTCTATTATCTTTTATATGGATTCCTATGATTTTAACACAATCTTTTTTGTTGGGGGCCATGAAAATTCCATTAGGAAATTTCCAGCTGTTTCAGTAACCGGGAGCTCCAGTCTGCATTGAATAGCGGATGCTAACTGATTTGCTATTGAATAGCATGGCCTCAGTGGGTAATGTCACTGAGTTTGCATCTCTACAGGACTAAGAATTTGAATAGGCCTGCACCTAGGCAGAGGGCTAGGTGTGTAAGTAACAAGTGAGGACACAGAGAGAGTGAGGAACAAGCAGGCAGAGTGGTCGACCAGAGAGAGAGAAATGGTTTCATGGCTAGAGAGGCAGGGTTAGGTAACAGCCAGGAAGATGCTGGATGAATAAAGAGACTCTAGTTTTGCAGCATGGAACTGAGAGCTCTCTAAAGATGACAAAATGCCTGTGTTTGGTTTTTATCATCATTGGGTTGCTAGGAGTTTCCAAGTCCACACTCCCCCACTCAGGACGAACCTCATGGCTACCGTGGCTTGGGCTGAGACATGCCTGGTCACGACAATATCTATTCATGTTTGCATATTTATATGGATGTTCATGGTTATTTCATGGTGCCTACACAGAAGTCAGACAATAGCCTTTAGTCCTCAACTTTGACTTAGTTTGAGACAGTGTTTCTTGCTTACCGTGGTGTATTTTAGGCTAGCTTGCTTGGGGGTTCTCCATTTGGGATTCTCCAATATCTGTCTACCATATTGCCCACTGATGCCTGGTGATGAGTAAGGGTGCTACAGTATCTAGCTATACTTTGGTTCTGATGTTCTGGACACTGGACTCTCATACTTGTGCAGTATATACTATACACACTGAGAGCTAAATTATAACAATTCTGGTTAATAACACTGGACTCTGTGATTGAAGTTTGTTGTTTTAGTTTCCTTTCCTGTCACTGTAATAAAATCCCTCAACAAAGCAATATATAGGGAAGGTGTTTATTTGACTCACAATTTAAAGTTTTAGTTCTTTATATCAGGAACTTGAAACTGATTATATAGATCACTTTTTCTTTCTTATAGGCCTTGAATTATTTCTTTTTTTTGTTGACTATAAGTTTATTATAAGGCCCGGCAGAATGGGGAGACTAAGAAGAGGAACAGGGTAATGGCTGACCGCCATGGTCGGTCGCCATACAGAGACAGGTGGAGCGCACAGACAGAGAAGAGAAGAAACAGAGGATAGGAAAGAAGAGAAGCAGGAGAAGAGCCTTAAATTATTTCTTAAATTGTTGCTTGAGTCCTGTTATTTTTATTGATGGGCAATCAATAGTTACTTATTCTGCATACATTAACAACTGACCATAATGAAAAGACATTTATTTGAGCCAAACTGACAGTAGCATCATTCTTTAGACATAAACACAGTTATTTATAATAAACTTGATAGGCACATTGTGCCCGTTTAGTGAAGCAACAACAGCAGCCTATCCCAGGTACTGCCCCACCATAGGATTTTAATAGGGTTTATAGTACCAGATGCTAATTTTCTCTCATGGAACAGGCATAAAATCCAAATATAAAGTATTTGGTTGCCCCCTTAACAGATTTTCCACTATTGCACTGAGGAAAACAGATTGAACAGTTTATGGATTTTCCAGAACATGAAATGATCTTGGTTCTCTCATGGCCAGAGGCCAGAAATACCAGAACTGGTTTCTGGATCCTTCTCTGATTTCTTGTTATATTTCTTTTCTTTTTCCAATTCTATTAAGCTGCTCTACTTACTAACAGTTATTTGTGAAGATATGACTAACAATGAGAAGCACCTGTGTACCTTATGGATGAACCTCCTACATTGACTGGCTTACTTTCCCATGCCTCACCATACCTATCATAGGACTTATAAAAAACCTCTATACTATCAACTCTATGACACCCCAGTTTTGAAGATTCACACCTGTTGTGTGTGTTAAGCCCCCAACAACAATCCTAAAGAAAAAAAAAATCTTCCTTCTACAACTCACCCTCATATGGTCTATAAATTCATTCTTCAAATTAATAAAAGAAAGCATTCTAGTTCATTGCATCAGCACAAATTCCTTCTGAGACCATGAAATAACAGCCTTTTACCATCTGAGTTAAAGCCCACCAAAGGCTATGAAATCTCTCTCACACTGAAGGGCCCCTTTCCCTCCTTTAGGCATCAGCAGGCCCATCTTGCATGACTGGTTGGCAGTGTTTTACAAGAAGATCTACAGCTAAATAAGGTAGTTGAGCACAATACACACCCCATTATGTTATTTTTCTTCTCTTTTTTTATGGTTTTTGAAAGCAGGGTTTCTCTGTGGCTTTGGAGGCTATCCTGGAACTAGTTTTTGTAGACCAGGCTGGCCTTGAACTCACAGAGATCCACCAGCCTCTGCCTCCCGAGTGCTGGGATTAAAGGCATGTGCCACCACCACCCTGCTTATTTTTCTTTTTTAATTGCTGTCCTATTCAGAAACTGCCACTCCTCCACTATTATCAGTGGCTAGTCCTCCAGAGGGAATTCTGTTCCCTCAGGCACTAACTCTTTGAAAGCTACCAAAGAAACTCATTTAAATCTTTATTCCACTAAAGAACTCAAGATTCAAATGTTGATGTAGAAATTATTTCCCAGAATGGCTGGTTAGCAAACAGCTCTCCCAGCTCATCTAGCTTAAGTCTTCACATCTCCCAAGAGGTCCTGGAGCTTTTTCTTATCCCTCTTTATAAAGCCTTCTCCACCTGGCTCCTCCCTACAACTTCCTTATAACTGGTTGTTCTATCATAGCTAAATTGTTTATAAGTACAAATTTACTTTTAATTTATGATTATGATATCTAAATGCTTCATACAAGGAAGAATGGAAGACATCTTGTATTAAATTTGATGATTGTTTTGTCTAATTTATACAACAGAGAAGAGGTTTTTGTTTGCTTGTTTTTTGTAAGGCTTTCTTGAAAAGTGCCTGGTAATTAACACAATAGGTAAACCACAAGTGATTCAAAATAATAAGACAACTATGATCCTGTTTATTTAACATAACATGCTTTCATTATTCAATTCTTAATGTCATATAATGTGTTTCAACATACTTCAGCAAGGTAATTTTGAGAGATCTTATTTTTAACGTCATAGGAGACCCACATAATGCAGTAATCCAGAATAAGTAGCCTTTACTGTTTTTATTTTTAGGCCTGAAATGGCCATATAGAAAGCATCTCAGCCTGCTTAATCTGTTATTAAAAAGTTACCACAAACTGGGTAATATATAAATGGAAGATTTATTTCTCATCATTTTTTTTCTCATTATCCGGCTAAGAAGTCTAAAATTAAGGCACTACCCAATAGATTCTGTGTTGAACAAGCACTTTCTTTCTGGTTGCCAGATGGTGCCAGTTTACAGCATTCTTACATGATGGAAAAGGTGAGAAGTCTCTCCCAGACCTGTTTTATGTGTACAAATCATATGGTTGATAGTCCTGCCACTGTGAACTAACAATCTCTTCAGAATCCCACCTCCTCATATCATCACCCAGAGGGTAAACCGTTTTGCTGGGAGTGACACAGAATGTTTATATTTAAGTGTGACTTTCACAGTTGAATGCAGCCAGCCCTATAGACCCCCTAGGTTTAAAGACGAATGACCCCATTCCTATATTTGAATGCTCAGTCACCTGGGAGTAAAACTATGATAGGATTAGAAGGATTAAGAGGTGTGGCCTTGTTGGAGAAAGTGTGCCACCAATGTTGGGCACCAATTTCATGAGAGATAATCCGAAAGAAAAAAAGAATATGTTTGTAGCTATAAATTTAGGGAAGCATTCTGTGGTTGAATGAAACAGCCTACGGAACCGTACTGTAAGGCAGAAGAGGAATTAGCCTGACAGGAAGCTAAAAGAAACTCATGGCTGTCAGCACAACTGTTGAACGACAGTAAACGTTTCTGAGAATCTACGAGATAAGCACGTAGATGGAGAGAGGACGGACTGGAGAACTAGAAAGAATCAGCGTGTCTTCTCTGAAAACTAAAATTTAACTTCCTTTGATGTCTCCCAGGGTCTCTTTTGTCACCTGATACTGCTGCGGCACCTCTTCCAGAACAGAAACTCTTAGAATGCACACTCGTTGCCAGGCAACCCCCCAAATGCTTCTATGGTCTCCCTATGATTGGCTTAGAGCGGCCGTCGCGCGTATAGCGTCACGGCGCGGCGCCGGATGTGTATGCTCCTCGAAGCGGGTTTCCTGGATCAAGACTGCCACTGTAGGAGCCACTGGCTTTTGGCGCCAAGAGCCGGACTCAAACCCCATTTTGGGCGGCGACGAGCGCGGGAGCGGCGGGACAGGCGGGACAAGCGGTAGGCTCGGACGACAGGGCGTGGTCTCAACTTACGGGCCTCCCAGTTTGGCGTCCTGTAGCTAAGCCGCCTGAGCTTGTTGCTAGGGACACTAGAGGAGCTCTGGGAACTTGGCTTAGAGTATTCTAACTGGAGTTCTCTCACTCAATCTCCATGTTTTCAATTCTTTTTTTCCCTATAGCGCTGTCTACACACTTCCACATTTTTAACTTTAACAACACCTTGGAGATGAATTGAACTTAGGTGCTTGAAAGTGGGTAAATTTGGTGATGGAATGTTCGAAAGATGGAAAGCAGATATATATTGCTTTGTGATGACAAAGGGAACACAGCTTTAACTGAACACCTTTAGAAGTTTTTGGAACTTTCTAGGTTTCTAATTAGAGAGAGGAAAGATGACGGACGATTACTCGTGTGGTCTTAAGCTGGGGGAGCTGTGTACTGAAATTTGGTGTTTGTAAAACAAAGATGGTGTGGTTTCCCATGATATACCGGTGCCAGCAGCCCCTTTTACTCAGAGGCCCAATGAAGCCTAGGGTTATTTGTGTCATGTTTGTTGTTTTTCCTTCCGACATTGCGATATAATTTAGCATTCCACATTTAGTGGATTACTGTATTCTGATGTCTACTTAGAATCTAAGAAAGAAACAAGGGGTCACCTGGACTGTGTTTATAACAATGCATTTCACCTCTTCATTTCTTCTTGTCACTAGCCCATTACACCACCTGCCTAAAGTCATTTAAAGAAAAAGTAGTCTTAAAAGCAATGGAAGTGTTTTCCTTTCATATACAATGTGAGTCTGTGCTTGTCAGTGGTATTCTCCCAGGTGGATATATATTTTTTAAAACAAAGCATATTTACTTTGTCTTTTAAATAAAGAGTGACACCTTTAGCAATTAAAAATAGTTATTTTAAAAATATTTATTTATGTATTTTATGAATTGAGTTCTCTGTCACATACACAAACTCTTCCGTGTCATATATGTATATTCCTGAATGCCAGAGGAAAGTATTGAATTCCATTGTGAGCCACCATGTTATTTCTGGGAATTGAACTCAAGACTCTGGAAAAGCAGGTTGTGCTCTTAACCATTGAGCCATCTTTGCCTCGCCCTGTCATTGTCACTAAGGCTTCCTCCAGCACCTTATGGGAGCAGATGCAGAGACCCACAACCAAACGTTAGGTGGAGCTCTGGAAACCCAACAAACAGGGGGAGAAAGGATTGTAGGAGCCAGAGGAGAACATGATCCACAGAATGAACTAAGCAGGGCTCTTAAGGGCTCACAGAGGCTGAAGTAGCAATCACAGAGCCTGAATGGTTCTAGGAATATTAGTTGCAGTTGTTTAGCTTTAGGTTTTTGTGGGACTCAAAGAGTGGGTGTGGTGGTGTCTCTGACTCTTGCTTGCTCTTAGGGCCTTTTTCTTCCTGGGTTGCCTCTTGGAGCCCTGATATGAGAGTTTGTGCCTAGTCGTATTGTATCTTATTATGCCATGTTTGGTTGATATTCCTGGGAGGCCTGATCTTTTCTTTTCTTTTCTTCTTTTCTTTTCTTTTGGTTTTTCCCGAGACAGGGTTTCTCTGTGGCTTTGGAGCCTATCCTGGAACTAGCTCTTGTAGACCAGGCTGGTCTCGAAACTCACACAGATCCTCCTGCCTCTGCCTCCCGAGTGCTGGGATTAAAGGCGTGTGCCATCATCTCCTGGCTTGATCTTTTCTGAACGGAAATAGAGGAACAGTGGATCTGGAGGAGATCTGAGGGGGAGGGGTCGGAACTGGGAGGCGGGGAGGGAGAGGAGACCACAGTTGGATCAGTTGTGTAATAGAGGAATGGGGGGGGAGGGACTGTTGGGAGGCGCAGGAGGAGGGGAGGGAGAGGGAGCTGGGGTTGACATGTGAAGCAGACTTGCTTCTAATTTAAATAAATAAATAAATAAATAAATAAATAAAAATTAAAAAAATAAGTCACAAGAAAATTAAAAATCCTTTAAAATAATTATTTTCCCCAGAAACATAGGCAGGCAGGTCTCTAAGTTCAAGACCAACCTGGTCTACATAGCAAACTCCAGGCCACCCAGGACTATATAATGAGACCCTGTCTGAAAATCAAACAAACAACTATTATTTTGAAAAGATCCAGCCTAGTAGACTTTAGAAGCTCCAAGTTCATCGAGAGAGTCTGGTTCACAAAATGGTGGAGAGCAATAGCAGGAGATACCCGATGTCAACGTCTGGCCTCCATGGACACACCTACTTTCACACATTAACAGGCATATGTGTACACAATGTCACAACTACATTGAATAATTAAACACATTGGAAGCTCTATTTTCTAGACTTTAAAAGTTTTTCCAATGAAGGGATTCCTTGGCTATTGAACTCATTTAAATAGAAAATAGGTCAGAGTAGATGGCTCAGCTGGTAAGGAATATGATCACCCAGAATCCTCTGAGAACTTAGGTGTTTGTGGTGGCCTGTCTGTCATCTCAGCACTTGTGAGACACAGATGGGAAATCTCTGGCACAAGCTCACTAACCACATTAGCCAATAAGGGGAGCTCTGGGCTCAGTGAAAGACCCTGCCTCAATATATAAGGTGGAGAGCTTTTGGAAAAAAGATGGCAACCTTGGGCCTCCACACCTACATCTATATATAACGTTTCATTTTTGTCTTGTGTTTATGGCAGATCAACAGATTCTGAAATTTTTTCATTTAACTGCAGGGGTGAAAGTGAAGCCATGCAGAAATCGGAGTACCCTGGAGATGTGCACTTGAGAAACAGAGCAACAGGTACAGAGCTTTGCTTTTTCAAAGGCAGAGGTCAGTTTGTTAATGGTATATTCCATGTTCTGTGTGGATACAGGGTAGTTTCTGTTGCATATTTGTCTTTTGTCCTGATCTGATTTTCCTCCCCCACAGGTAATTATGATCAAAGGACATCCTCAAGTGCACAAATAAAACACAGCACTACAGTTCAGCGGAGCAAATCTTCCTCATTAACCAGTTCTCCAGAGGCTGCAAGAAGGGTTCATCCTCGGCCAAGTGATAAACTCAACCCAAAAACAATTAACCCCGTGAGTACAGATTCCTTAGGCAGTACATTTTCACAAGGAAGAGGCATTTATCTGATTACACTTTAACTAATTAACGATGAATTCTGAATGCTGTAAATTCAGTTTTATTCTGAATGCTCTCATGGATTTCATTTTTGCTAGTTTTGAGCTAGTTATGTCGATTTTGTTATGTTCTTAATTGTATGTCAGCTTTTTAATTTTCTATCCTGCTTCCTAATGTCAGTGAACTAGCTTACAGTTGCTATGGGATTGATTATTCCTGTGCTTCAATATTCACAAAAAACTCTTAACTGTTCCTTTATGTTCTACAAATTCAGACCACTAGAAATCATAGCATAGGAGAAGCACAAAGCCAGTTTGGAGAAGTTACACAGATTCAGTACTTGGCTGAAGGACTTGCAGGCTATACAGTGTTGGCTAAAAGGAACTATACTCCCTTTGTCCTTAGCACCACTTCTGTAACCTAGAAGATGCATTCAGATATATGTTTGTATGACCTGTTTCTGATCTTTGACTCTACCAAGCCTAATCTCTTGTTGCATAGAAGCATAAAGCCAACTTGAAGAAGTTAAATAGATTCTCTGGTTTCTGTACATCTGTGCTTGGCCAATGGGGTGGTGTACAAGCATAGGTAGCAAATCTCTATTCTGCCTATACTTAATTCGTGAATTCTTTTTTTTTAATTAGTTCAAATTAGGAAGAAGCTTGTTTCACATATCAATCCCTTCTCCCTCACCCTCCCCTTACCCCACCTTTCTCCCCCCCCAACTACTCACCACTTCATTATTCAGCCCTCACCTTGAAGATTCAGATTGCCAGAGAAAGTAGAACGACATTTTGCTCTGTGTATAGTTGTAGCCACCTGCAAAGCTTAGAACCAAATTAGAGGTTGAAGAAAAATAACTCCACATCTTGGTTGTGTCTGTGGATTTTTTGTTTTGTTGTGGTTACTCCTTCAGTTTTGTTTTTGCCAGTCATGTGGTTAAGTAACAGTGTGCACAAAGTAACACAGTGGGAGTTTGAAAGTCAGGGTTTTTTTTGCCTCTGATCTCAACAGGATTAAAATTGAAGGTATCAGTAAATGGAGTTAGTAGTGATATTTTTGTTTTTCATTTTTTGTTTTCAGTTTGGTGAGCAGTCAAGAGCCCCCTCGGCATTTGCAGCTATCTACTCTAAAGGCGGCATTCCTTGCAGGTACAATCAATACAATGCATAGCTGACTGTGTGCTTCAAAATAATTGAATGAAATCGATATATTATTCAGTTTAAATTTGATGAAAATGTATTTACTAATGAGATTTAAATCAAGGTGACTTATTACCTTGACTCTTGAATTGGTATTGATCCCTGGACATTTTTTTGATAATAAACAGGTCAACTCCAATATGTAATTATTAAGATGTGTAGTAAAACACCAGATGATTTTAGAAATTAAATTGAACTGAGTGTACCACTTTGGGTACAACTAATTTAAGCATTCGTAGGCAAGCTGCAAATAAGAAAACCCGACTTCGATTGTAATGTAAACACTGGCAGCGAAGTGGAATATTATTTCTTAGTAAGTATTTATGACTATTTTTGCTTCTTTTTGGATAAATTCCTGATGTCCTTTTTCATAGATTGTTCTGTTTCATTCTGTTCTTCATGGTATAATTTTTTTTTGTTTTAGTATAGGAGGGATAATTACAATATCAATTTTTATGTTTGGTTCTGAAATTTCAAAAATGCATTTTTAATGATATCTTCAAATTTGGAGTGAAAAATAAACTAGAGAAGCATTCTTGAATTTATTATGATTTCATCCTTAGATTCTAATTTAAAGGGCTAGGGATGCAGCTCAGTTGATAGAGTGCTTCCTACCATTTGTAAAGCCCTGAGTTCCATCCCCCAACACTCCATAAACTTGACATGGTCCTCTTTACTTGTAATGCCAGCACTGGATGGGGGAGCAGGAGGAAGGTCTCCCTTGGCTGCATAGTGGATTTGAGGCCAGCATGGTCTACACGAGACACTGTCTCTCACACATTGAGACTTAAGCTTTGTTTTATTTACTACTTAAGCTTCTTGATTGCTTTTCCCCAAAGTAACTGAGATTTGCTGAAAGTGTAAAAACTGATACCTTGCTGAGTGAGGCCTCTTGTTGTTGTGACTGTAACAGTGAAGAAGTCAGGCTGGAGAGCTGAGTGAAACCAAGATATTTGGGAATGACCAGTGATTCACAGTCATGACAGTAATGCTGTAGTGTAAACTCATCAGTTATGGTTCAGGAATGGCTCTGGGGGATGGTGAGAGGACTTAACTCAGGACTGCCTGTAACCTCAAAGGGACCATTTTATCTTCTTGGCTGTAGCTTTTTCTACTTAACAAGGACTAAAACAGATTTACCTTCAGATTATTAGTGTTATCAGTGTTAGGCTATGAAAAATATCACTGTAAATCTTACCTTTTCTACTTACTGCATATCTTCATTTTCTGTAGGTTACTATTTTGTGACTGTCTGAGAGAGATCAGTGCAGCATGTATATCAAGATTCTGAGAGAGTGACATGCCTAAATATAAATAAAAAGTTTTACGATGCAAGCTTACTAATAACTTTATGGATAATGTGAGAATATGAAGGATTTTTTTACTTGCTCTATTTTGTCTGTGTCCTTATGAGTTTGGTACTCATATATATCACAAAATAATTCCAGTGGGACTCTGTTTTGGCAAAAATATTATTGTGTTATAAGCTCCCTGCCTATAAATGCTTGTGGGGTTCCGTTACAGTTTCTGACTTTTGTATTTTAGATTGGTACATGGCTCAGTAAAACACAGATTACAGTGGGAATGTCCTCCTGAAATTCTTCCATTTGACCCGCTTCTAATTACTTTAGCTGAGGTAAAACATTCTAGCTCTCCTGAGTGCTAATAGAAAATATATTTTTAAAATTTCATTGTTCTTTTGTAGTTTATAAATATATCTCATTCTATACTCTTAAAATAAATATCAAGCAAAAGGCACTAAAATATTGGACACTAAGCAAGTACTTGTGATTGTTTTATGTGTGTATGTGTGTGTGTGTGTGTGTGTGTGTGACAAGACATTTTATACACACAGGCATACACACATACACGATATATATTTATATAAAATAAATGGCTTGACCAGTGTGATAAAAATCAAGTTCTAACAGGGATTTATAGCTAAATGAAATGGATGGTATATCATACTTAGTTCTCTTTTAGACACAAGATAAGTCTTTCGTCTTTCATATAAAGCAGCAAACCATGCTTTAGACTAATCAAAGGTAAGTGATACATTGCATAGTCCAAATAATTAGGGTGCACAAAGTACTTTGATTTGTGAAGTCATTAAAGGGCTTCTGTCTTTACAACTCATTAATATCAGTCCCTCTATAGCCTTTGTTTTTTACATGAGTGTGTGTGTGTGTGTGTGTGTGTGTGTGTGTGTGTGTGTGTGTGGTTATGCCATGGAGTGGGAATAGGAATCAGAGGACAACTTCTTGGAGTTGGTTCTTTCCTTACACGATATGGGATCAGGGTTTGAACTTGGATATCAGGCTTAGTTGCAATTATGTTTATTTGCCAACCCATCTCAGTGGCCAAGATCAGTCCTATATGTATACCTGGAGTCCAACACCAGTACATGTATGTATTTCTGTATTGGATAGCAGTTTTCTTTTTTTGTTTGTTTGTTTTTTGAGACAGGGTTTCTCTGTGTAGCTCTGTAGACCAGGCTGGCCTATGCCTCCCAAGTTCTGTGATTAAAGGTGTGCATGACCAGTGCCCGGCTCAGTTTCCTTTTTTCTTTTACTCACTTAGTAATGGGGAAGGAGTATAGACAGATTATTGTTGAGATCCATTTCAGCTTGACTTTCTAGTCTCCATTTTGAAAATGAGTAAGATCCAGGAACTGTTAGGACAGGTACTGAACATATTGGAGAATTATTTGCCATGTTGGTGATTTTGTTGTAGAAAACATGGTAGGACAATGGGAAGGGGGACATTTGACCACTGTTTGGAAGCAGATATTCAGGTCAAATTGACAAAGTGTTGGAAATTGGCTTTGTGACATGACTTTGCAGCTGGTTATTTTAACCTACTCCACACATAGATCCAAAGGTGTTGCTGTTCCTTTTCTCTTTGCTTTGTTTGGTCCTTTTCAAAAGTCAGATGGTTTTTTGACCTCTAGTAGTAGCTGGTAAATCATGAGTGCAGACCATTCTTTTCTAGGGCATTGGGAGGAAAGACACCCACTGTGATCAGTGCTGGGCACAGATTGTGTTTTCCAATTGTGCCCCACTGTGAATGGCAAATTTAAGTTCTGAAACTGTCCTAGCCAGTGTAGGATCTCCCTTCTAAATGTCGTAATATATTTAAATGTTTAGGAAAGCCCTTGCAGAAATCACTGAGCACATTGAGGGTCCAGTATGAAACACACAGTGTGCACCTTGCTGTCCTTCAGGGGTCCTCAGGAAGCAGTGGTCTAGTGTTTGATGCTTTCCTTATCTTCTCATCTGTTTTTCATTTCCCTCCACTTTTCCCCCACTTATCTGCCCATATTTTCCTCTTCTAATCTCTTTGGTTTTTTTCTTCCTTTTTTGTTACTCTGTTGATTTTCCTTTTTTTGTCTTTTCTCATTCCATGTGAGGGTAGAGTTCTGTATATCTTTTATTACATGATCTCTTGGTATAATTCAAAAAATAACTGCTGAAATTACTCAGTGTGATTAGAAAGACATCAAACAAAGTTCTGGTTTCAATTATGTTAGGAGCATGGAGTTTTGTGGTTATGAATATAATCAAAAGGTAGCAAGTGAATCATTTTCCTGTTTCTATATTGTCTTTGGCAGGGTCTAAGGGAGACAAAGCACCCTTATACCTTTGTGTCCAAAGAAGGCTTTAGGGAATTACTTCTGGTCAAGGGTGCTCCTGAAAAAGCTGTACCATTGCTACCCAGACTCATCCCTGTGCTGAAGGCAGCTCTGGTAAGTCATTTATTTCACTGGACTTTATTATTCCTAACTACACGATACAGATGAACACTCTGGTCCAAGAGAACACTGTCTGCTCCTCTGGTTTCTCATCTGATTTCTCTATCAGTTACTGTTAGTTTTTAACTATTCCCCTTTTATTGTTTTAGATAGAGGTGTGGCTTTCTGTCAGTTCTCTGCATGGTCTTGCATGTATCAAAATGGGAAAGTATGCCTTGCTTTTGAAAACTTATTTTTTTGTGTGTGTGAGTACATGTGTGTATCTCTATGTGTGCTTATATGCATACATGTGGAATGTGGAGAACCATCTCAGGTGTTGTCTTCAGAAATATTGTCCACTTCCTTGAAGGTGGGTCTCTCATTTACCTGGAGCTTACCAACTAGGCTACATTTTCCTGGCAGTAAATCCCAAGGAATGTCTTGTTTTCTGCCTCCCCAGTGCTGGAATTATAAACATAAGCCATCATGCCCAACTTTTTATGTAGGTCTTGGAAATTGAAGTCATTCATTTCCCCAGCCCCAGAAAACATATTATTATAGCAGATATTGTAGGATAGGTAGTGTTTGAAATGTCATAAATTCAACTTTTAACTAAATGTTAAAAGTTGACATTTAGTTGTAAGTTTTAGTGAAACATTTACTGAAACAAACTTTGTATTCTTAAATTAAAACATTCTCAAAAGTTATTTGTGGTTATGGCAAACATTATTTATTTATTTTGGAATTCCCCTCTCCCCAATCTTTAATAGCTTTCCAAGAGGCTAATGGACAAAAAATTCAAAGAACCCATCACCAGTGCCTTGCAAAAGTTGGAGCAGCATGGCGGGAGTGTGAGTAGATGCTGCACCTGTAACCATGGGTTGTTTCTGTTCATTGTGCTTTCAGTCCTATTTGGAGAATCAGTATGTGGTTAGCATGTTAACTTATTACAGCTGCAAGGGAAGCTGTGAAAATGTTGGTTTTTCTTCTTCCAAACTAAGAATTTCTGCTTTGTTGGGGTGGTATAGTTTCTAAGATGGCCTTTACAGAAGCAGGCTGGGTAAATAAAGGCCTGTGTTCTTCTTTGGAGGTCTTGGAAGTGTATTCTTAGTTTTTCTCCTTAATCTATTATACATGTTTTGTGTTGGCCCATGAGAAGGTCAAAGCATGACTTAGCCCAATCCCCAAAAATGCTTCTTAAAAATTGTATATTTATTTACTTCTGTACATGCCTATATTAGGGATGAATCGCAGGTTTATATGTGAGCTCAGGAAGCACCTGAGCTCTCTGCACATAGTAATGGAAGAAAACTGTCTTGTTTTCTTCCTCTGACTTTTAGAATCTCCCTGTGCATAGAAATGCCACTTCCATATTGGTGCAGCACATACACATTCTTCAAAAGTTGATCTGATTTTTTTCCTCCAACTTTTCAAGGGGAGGAATATGGAGACTTCATTAATACATGTCAGCAAAATTAACTGCATTTTCATAATTTGAAAAGTATTCAGCTAATCAGCCTAACAATGTAGAAATTTCATTGTCCAGATTTTATAAATAATTAGAAGAAAATGTAAATTATTGTATACAATGTTTTGCTGGCCATGCCTTAATCAGCTAATTCTGCTAATTTTAATAATCTTTAAATTGAATATACATATATATTTTTTCTGATTAACACTTAAAGGTTATGCAGAGGAACTAAGCCTGAAAAGGGCTGTTAGAAAATGTACTTCTTTGTTGTGTTTGAGTTCTAGGTAGGGAATTGATGTTCAAACACTGAGGACATGTGCAGAACTAGCCCCTAGCCAGACCAGTGTCTCCATTTCTGATGAAATACTTATTGTAAATGTACTTGATCATCTCAGAATCTGAATCCCAGATGTATTGCCTTTCCCTCCCTTGTGGAATGCAAATGAACAGATGGTGAATTTTAGACTGTATCTCTCCCTAGTGGTTGTCTGCTTCCAGGAGACCTTTTTAGGAATGGATCAAGCAAAGGGAAAGGACTGTCATCTGACTTTTGTGGATGTCTGTGTGTTTAATTGGGGAAGTTACCATATAGATGTCTTTCAGATGCCCGACATTGTTACTTGGAACTTGCCTGCATAGCTTGTAGTTAGCCAACCCAAGGTCCTAGAGAGAGAGAGAGACGACTCCTTTTGGTATTACTCAGTCCTATTAGCTTTAAATATTGCTAATACTGAATTTAAAAAGAAAAAGAATTTGTGATTACAAGGGATCTTAAATATTCCTCAGTCTTCTTTACTGTTCCTTGTGTGCCCTATATTATATTTTAGTAATAATTTCTGTCATTGTAAAAGAAAGTTTACTAGGGTCTAGAGAGATGGGTGAGCAGTTAAGAGCACTTGTTGCTTTTGCAGCAAGTTCTCTGCACCTTCATGGTGATTCACATCCAGCTGTCCCTCCAGTTCCAAGGGTACACTACATTCTCTTAATGGCCTCCTTGGGCACCGGCATGCAAGTGGTACAGAGATCTACAAGAAGACAAAACACTCATGTTCGAAGTCCTCTGCTGAGTCCCCATGAGCACTACACTCATTTGGTCTCCAGGATGAGCCGCAAGGTAGACTTGCTGGTATTGTCCTTTAAGTCAGGATATTGGGTGCAGAGAAGTAATTTACCCCAGTGTGCTAGTGGGTGCAGGGAGGTCACATTTAAATTCTGCCCTGACTCTTCCACGCTTCTTAGATACTTACAGGCTGTTATGGGTTTTAGTTCCCTCAGAACAATGTTCTGTTCCTCCTGGAATTTGATTGTGTCCTTGATATTACTTTTGTTTAAGTCTTAGATACTTCTTAAGCAACACCTGTAATGCCTACTGTGGTAACTGTGTTCTAATGACAGTTTTTTCTTCTGTTGTCAGGCAAGTCTTATTGTCATCAAATCCAAAATCCCAACATATTGCTCTATCTGCTGTTGAATAAGGGAGCCAGCAAAAGCCATGCTGCTTTCTCAGACCCCAAAGGTGGCTTCAGTGGGCCTCTCCTGAGGACCCTGTCCAGTCCAGAGAACTCCTTGTGCAAGATGTTTGTCAACAAAAAGCACAGGTGCTAATGGAAAGCAATTAAAGTACTCATGAAAAAGTTGACTGCTGTGAGGCTTTCTCATCTTGATCATCTGTGTGAATTTACGGATCTTATCTATGAGCATATTTTCCAATGTATTTTTATTTATAGCCATTATGAAGATCACTTTGTAGCTGTGCACTTATTTTATAGGTTGGTTTTGGCCATTTCTTGTTTTTTTATATTTATCAAGACTGAAAGAATTTAAGATAGCAAGTAAACATTTGTGACTTCTCTATTAGATGGGATGTGCAAATGTGTATTTTATAATGTGGAATGCTTGGGAACCTCTTTTCCTTCCTGAATATTCTAGTTTAAAAACCTTGTAAATGTGAAAATTCTATTACAAGTATATTGTTTATTACAACTTGTTAAAACCACCTAAGCTCTAAGTAAATGTTATTTTTACATTTCATAGGCTGAAAATACTTATGATGTACAATATGCGATATTAAATTAAAATCTTAAAACTTAGATGTATTCTACGATATTGTAGTACTTATCTGTGTTTTGGTTACTTGTTTTTTTTTTAAACATAATTTATGGATACATCCAGAGTTTCTGATGAGCTAGAAACTTCTAGATGATTCTACAAGAGGAAGGAAGGAATAGAGGAAGAGCAATGGAAAAATAGAAGTCAGACCTTCAGTGTGACTAACAGGAATAGTGGCTGAAGAGACATGGATCGCCACACCAAATCCAAATCATAACCATGCATTGGAAAGCATGGGGACAAGCCATCACTGTGTTTTGTAGCAGCAGCTACATGCCTTCTAAACACTAGATAGATGATGCCCTCCTCTCGTTCTCTCCCATAGACTGCTGGTTGGCCCCTGGGCAATTCTTGTTTCAATAGTTGTACAGCTGTCATTTGAAAGAATACAAGCAATTACCGAGTAACCTGCCCATTCTCCACCATGGCTTTTGCTTCCTGGTCCTGGTCCCTCTCTTTCCTTAGATCTATAGAACCTTGTCACATTCTCAGACCATGCCTGCTACAGCAGCTGCCTAATCCCTGTCTTGCTTTGAGTTTTCTCTGTAGGTAGCACTACCCAAAGATAGTGACAGTGTAGTTAGAATCTAGTAATTGATTATAAAACTTGTTAGAACATAAAGACTATAGCAGATGCAGTAGAGTAATAAACACTTTATTTTGCTTTTATTTTTCCTTTTGAGATACAAAATGTGCACATTGAGTTTACACAAACACACGATGGCAGATTTCAGTGTACAAGTACTGTACTACTCTTAATTCCTACACTGGTGATAGCAGGGCAGCTTTCAACATCCTATCTCTACACCAGAATAGATACCTGATTTATTGTTGCAGACAGTTGCAAGTTTTCTCCTCCCGTATCCTCTTGGTACTTGTGATATTTCTACAAAACAGGGGAGATGTGTATATCTATAGTACTGTTGTGGCAACGCTACAGTTTTGGCTTAAGGTCACTGAAATGAATCTGAATCATTTTAAGTTCTATGATGAGTTAAATCATAATGCAATTCAGATGAACTATTCAATACTTGTATTCATTTTCTATACAGTCTTATGTATTATTTCCAATATGATAGAATCACTGGTATTTTCAAAGATTATTTTGTTCTATCTTCATTCCTGGTGGCTTTGGGGCAGTCAAGGATTCTCTGTCCCTGAATGGCTTATACTAAACATGCTATGAGAACATTAGGAAGTTTGGGGTGGCTAGAATTGCCCTTTACTGCTTTTAGGGTTACTTGCTAATAAGCATCACTAGGTGTTGGAGGACAGATATCCAGAACCTTTGCAAGTCTGTAAACATCCTTGGTTTGTTTGACACTTTGAATTTCTACTTCATGACAATACAAGACAGTCTACATGTAAAATCGAACAGGTCCAAAGTTACATGGATTATGTAGAGCCTTGGCTTTAATATGGAAAATTAACAAATACTAAAATAATTTTATTAGGTATATGCTAACATCTGATAATAAACTAATTTTTTAGATGTTCTTTAAAAAATGCCAAATACATTTATGTCTTTAACAGCAGGTGGAGAAGCCATAGAAATTGGGACTGTGTTTTGGGTCTTTATTTTCATTGCAATAATCTTTGTTTATTTTTCAATGTTAGATGATTCGAATTAAATGAAAGTTTGTTGACTTTCTGGAAATTATATACAGATGCAAATATTTTAGAAAACCATTTAAAATCCAGGACTGAATACATACAAATGAGTAGGAAAACCCACTTGGGTTTTAAAATCACTGATCTGTGAAAGCCTCAATAATCCGTGGCTAAGGATCAAAACTATTCCAGATTCTGTGCCTTTTCTCAGAGTATGAAACAAGCTACACATTTCATGATCCCAGTGATGTTGTGGGGAAGATGCAGATTTGTAACTGGAAAACTTAAATCTTTGGGGGGGGGTGTTTTATATTAAAACAAAGCAGTTTGCATAATATGCCTCAGTGTAAAGCTGAGCAATCTATGCTAGAAGTGGTGGCTCCAACTTGTAAGTGTGTAGGGTATTTCAGGTTTGCTTCTTCAGCAGAGGATGTGCTGACACACTAGATCACATTTTCAAAGAGTTGCATGGAGCGCATTATGTTTTCGTCCTGCAAGGGAGAAACAGAAGGATTTTACCTGCTGTGTTTATAATGGAGAGTATTGCTGTAACCCTAAGTATGGCTTATATCCTTCATGTGCTGCTTTGTATTGGCCAATGTAGATACTCTTTACTCTTTATACAAGTAACCACAAGGCTCCATTTCATGCTTTCTTGAATATGCCTTTAAATATTTCATTTAAGTCTAACTTGGTACAGGTACATCTCAAATGATGTCAGGACAAAAACAGTGAGTGTGATGGCTAATGGTTGTTAACCACACCTGGGATCTACTAAATCAAGATTCTGGGCAGTCCTGTGATGGATTTTCTGATCACATTACTTGAAGCAGGAAGACCCACCCTAAATCTGGGTAGCATCAGGACTTGGACAAAGAGAACTTTGCTTTTTGCCTGCTTGCTTTCACTCTTTCTGGCAAGTTGATCTACCCTGTTGTTTTGGTCTTCCTTTGCTAGTATTAGAATCAACTTCCTTCAGGATTTCTACATAGACTGAAGGTCAGTAACTCTCCTGGAGTCTTTTAGGACTCCAGTTCCAGATTGAGACTATAGGCATGCAGCCTAGTGGACTGAAGAGTTACAGATTCTCATTCTCTTCAGTGTGAGACAGCCATTCTTAAACTCCTGAGAATGCATTCTGTAAGTCAACCTAATAAATCCTCCCCCTTTCTATACAGTCTTATGTATTATTTCCAATATGATAGAATCACTGGTATTTTCAAAGATTATTTTGTTCTATCTTCATTCCTGGTGGCTTTGGGGCAGTCAAGGATTCTCTGTCCCTGAATGGCTTATACTAAACATGCTATGAGAACATTAGGAAGTTTGTATATTATTTATATAATATTTATATATTATATATATAGATTGTATATTTTATATATATATGGAGAACACAAGTATATGTTATTATATATATACATATATATATTATCCATTGTATCAGTTTTGTTCCTTTAGAGAAGCAGAATGGTGAGCTTCAAGAGATCATCCAAATGGAACAGATGGGAACTTTTGCATTTGAGGTAGATTGCAAGCCAAAGCACAGAAAGTATACAAATATCCATTTCCAGGACAGAGAATAATCAATACACATACAGCCATTTTACCTCTTTAGTTGTCAGTTATTGCTAAATCTGTATGATTTTGAAACTGAATAGTTTCTGAATGCCAGAGAAATGATTGATTGGTCAGGAGAAACCATTGCACTGTGGCTGTGTTCAGCTTAGCTCATTTCTTAGAAATGAGCTACAGTGACATGCTGGACTGTTGAATGCCACTCCTGCCTTGCTGGTAAACACTCTAGTGAGCCAAGTGTACTAAGTTATGTCACCACTAAGAGGGATGAAATCACCACTTTAAATCTTTCAGAGGTGTTGAGAAGCAAGCAGGCATCAGGAAAGTTAAGACTGAACAATTGAAAGAGGTGGGAAAACCCCAGCAAATGTGTCTTTGTGTTTATTTGTAAATATGGTTCTATCCATCCATGGAGTTGAATCACTCTAGGTATGCTAAGTATAGATTTCCAGGCAGCACAGAATGACGAGATTTCTCCTAAGAATTTTTTCCTCTTTATTTTTATAAGTGGGGGCAATTACTGGGTTCAGCCAAAATGCTACTTTTTGTCTGTGTAATTAAATCAATGATGGTTTGCTGAGGACCTGAACTTGATCTCTGAAACTCACAATGGGAAAGGAAAGAACTGACTCTTGCAAGTTGTCTTCTAACTTCCAAATGTCTGCCACGGCACTATCCTTCCTCACAGCACACAGACATAACTTCAAAATAACACAAACAATGAAGACCAATATAAGTTTCGTTGTTTGTGGCATTAAATTTCTTTTCTATAGTGACACAATAAATAAACATAACATTTTAAATGAACTGTTTCTTGTAAAGAGTAAAGTTTATATTTTCATTATGTGTGTATGTGTATATGTCTGTGTGCAGGTATGTGAGCAGAAGCATACAGGTGCCGGCAGAGTCCAGAAAAGGGTGTCAGATCCCATGGAGCGGGAGTTAACAGAACTGGAGCTGCCATGTGTGTGCTGGAAACCAATCTCACATACTCTAAGGGGAGCAACAAACACTCTTGACCACCACACCACCTCTCTAGCTTCAGAAACAGCAACTTAAATCTATGGTTTTTGTTTTTTTCCCGAGACAGGGTTTCTCTGTGTTACCTTGACTATGCTGGAACTTGCTCTATAGACAAGGTTGGCCTTGAACTCTTAGAGATCTGCCTGCCTCTCCTCCTGAGTGCTGTGATTAAAGGCAGGCACTAACACCACCTGGCATCTGTGCTTTTATTTGTCAGTAATGAGTAACCTCTAAAGGTTTCCAGAAACAAAGGGAGTGTGTGTGTGTGTGTGTGTGTGTGTGTGTGTGTGTGTGTAATTTTTGCCTCAGGTTAGACATGCTATCAAATTGGATGTGCACATAAATTTGCTTGTGTTCATATGGGAAGTTTGTCTCGTTATGCTCAGCTTAAGCACTAGATTTACATTTTGCTCAGTTCATAATGGCTGTGCTCACTGTAACTGATGCTAACAAAAGGGATAGTTCTTTTCATTACTTACTTTTTGGCAACTTTCAATGAATTCATCAATGGTAACAACCCCATCTTTATTTTTGTCCATCTTCTGTTGAGAAAGAAAAGAACAAACATTGTGCTAGATTTTCTTTGGATAGCCTCACTGTACCCAATAGATAGAAACAGATAAGAATGTAGCACATCACATGTTAGGTGGGACAATTCCATTCGAGGAGGAACTAGTGACTTCCTACAATGGGGGAGCCAAGTCATCGTAGGTGGTATCCTTTTCCCTGTAATGTGAAGCATGAGTCACCTAAACTGTTTTCTAAATAAGACAGGACTTGCACAGTTCATGGAAATGTAGTATCTTGGTTTTTTCACCTGTAAAATGGGAGAGTAGTGTTGAGAATTTGTTATCATTAAGGTTCTTGTGGTAATTTCATGAAAACACTTAGGAAATAAAAGAATGGATTAGTCAGGATGTAGTCACTCTTCTGGAATTACAATTGTCTTTAATAATAAACTAAGATACTCAAATTATGAAATTAATGTAGTATGTGTCCTATTGTTCTATCCCTGTGAATATTCTTTCCATTTTTTTCCATCAAGGTGCTTCACAAGTATTGAGAAATCTATTCAATCTACCCTACACCCAATCACATCTTTCATTCCCACCTGGAAAAATGTCTCCACATGCTGTCGGGGAGCATCTTCCTTGAGGACAGGATATGTGCATTTCCCCATCATGTCATATATTGCCTTCATTATGTCCAGCATTTCCTGAAATGGAAAGACACTCAAGTGTGACGAAGCCCATCTAAATGCATTAGGAGATTCTGTTCATAGTGTTCCATTTGCTTGTTATGAGGTGCCTTTGATTTGCCAGAAGCCAACATCAGCCCAAAAGCATTGGAACCCAAATGTAACAGTCAACGATGAGATTTCAGTTTTGAAATGAAGTAGATTCCACATATTTCACTTGGCTGGCAGAGGAATAGTCTAGTTTAATGCTTTAATTAAAAAATATACAGAGAGACTTAGTTTTACTGAACTATTACACATTTATTGATTTCTGCTTATTAGAAATATTTTTCATTTAATATTAAAACGAACTATTCATTAATTAAAAAGGTCCTTGGAGTTATTTTTACCCTTCTTTTTTGGCATTAAACTGAAGAAGTCACATAAGACTATGAATTCAAATATTTTAACTAGGAAGCAGCTTAGCATTTTGTTAGCCTTTAAAGTAAAATCTATTTTATGTCATGTCATTTCAATCTTACCGGAAGAAAAATAATATCTAATTTTTCAGATTTTGACATAAGTCACACCCTAGATTAGGCAGATGATACAGTTCTATTTGTATTTACTTTTGATGTGTATGGATTACATGATGAACAAGTTTGTAAAAGTAAGTGAAACTTTAAATACTGTTTCTAACATAGGTAAGTAGTAAGATAGAAGCAAAATGTAGGCAGGATTGATGAGCTGTATTAAACAGAAAAGGATAGAACATTAGCACTGTATTCAGTTCTCAGCATTGAAGGAAACAAAGAATGGTTCAATTGGGAAGGGCTACGATTATTAATGTTCTCTAGGTTCCTCAATATTATTGAGGTACCTAGATGTAAGCATGAGTTTTCTGTTCTGGTAGGGGCCATCACCCTGTTCAGCCCCAAATAATACACGGACACTATATTAGTTATAACTCTGTTGGCCAGTGACTAGGGTTTCTTATTGTCTAGCTCTGTCTTAATTATTAAGCCATCTCTATTAATCTAAGCATTTCCACATGGTCTTACCCGAGGAAGAGTCCAGACCTGTTACTCCTCTTGAGTCCTGCATCATGACTGATTCTGCCTAGTCCCATCTATCATGCTGCCTCATTGGCCACAGTTCTTTATTCATCAACCAATAAAAGAAACATATGTACAGATGACATCCCTATAACCTAGGAGGCAATGAATATTCATGCTATACCAAATATGCAAGGAGTAATTCTCTTCATGAAGTCTTAAATTTAGCATCCTTGATGACACCTAATTTGACCCTATGTATCCTCAGCCCAAGACACAACCAATGACTAATCAATCACTGGTGTCCTGGCACACTGGACCTGTGTTCTGTAAGTCATGTTCATGTCATTGGTCCTGAATCCTTTTCCTCAAATGGGACTGTTTGTTCAAACCTTCACTCTGAGGAAGACATTTATGCAGAGAGAAACACAGGCCATGTGACCATAAAGTATGCCCAGGCTTCCTGCAGAATATTCTTTCAATTTTATTAGCATTCTACACCAAGGGTGGCTAATTTCCCTTATCCTTTATCTATTGCCTTCTCTCCCGCTGTTTTAAATCAATAAAGTAGAATTTTATTTTGTGATTGTCTTTCATTATTATCTTACCTCCAGGTGTTTTTGATTGAGCTCACCATTGTCCTTATCCACCATTTTGTGATTGTCTTTCATTATTATCTTACCTCCAGGTGTTTTTGATTGTCCTTATCCACTCCCAAACAAGAGAAGTACCTGGTAGCCATTGGGTGGTATTGCTTTGATGTCTATTGATTTTCTGGGGGCCCTTTTCCCTGAAACTATTGTCCACCTGAACTGAGAAGGGCTCTGCTGATGGGGGATGTGTTGGCCAATGGACAGGCAGGATGTAACCAGGTAGGAAGAATAGGTGGGGCTACCATACTAAGAGAATTCTGGGAAGAGTGAACCGAGAGTGAGATGCCATGTAGCTGCCGGGAAAGCAAGAGGCTTAGGCATTGCTAAGCTAAGAACATATGGAGATACACAGATTAATAGAAATGGGTTAATTATTAAGAGAGAACGAGACAATACAAAGCCTGAGCCATTGGCCAAAGAGTTTATAATTAATATAAGCCTCTGTTTGCTTATTTGGGACCAAATGTCTGTGGGACCTGGCAGAACAGAAACTTCCATCTATATTGTACCACTCACTCCCAAGGATCCGTGCTTTCCCCCATATTATCAACAGGCAAAAAGGGAATATGATATTGATTTGTTTCATTTTTTCTTTGAAGATTTACTACAAATAAGTCCTATCTTTTGCATTTTTATTAGAATGTATCACATTTCTACCAACATCACATAAAATATTTTTGATTTCCTAAAATGTGATTTTTAAAGTCATCATCGAAATTGTTTAATATTTTGAAGTTAAATAAAAACTATCCCAGTGCATAGCTAAATTGATGTGCCATCTCTTACTTCTTTAGTGATGTAGCCATCTTTGTTTATGTCATACAAATTAAATGCCCAGTTGAGTTTTTCTTGTACTGTCCCTCGAAGCAAAATGGAAAGACCTTTGATGAAATCCTAAAAAGCAATACAAATAGAATTCAGAATTTGTAAAAGTCCCTCTTAAATAATGATAGCAAAATTAACAGCCCTCTGAAGTTTGAACATATTTCCATGTTCAAAATTCACATTCCAAATTACTAATATGTACTAATATGTTTTTTAGTCTTTAGTTCCTCAGGATTCTTTGTATGACCTATGCCCCACCCTTAGATATTTTCGTCTAATTAGAAATTGAGTTAAATTAACCACCGGACTGGAAATTGTGCCTTTATGCATGAATATCTACACAGAGCTTGTGCATGTATGCGCGCGCGCGCGCGCGCGCGCGCACACACACACACACACACACACACACACCACAAATTTAAAAGAAAAAAATAGCAAGTGTAAGAAATGAATATTGTCCATAGAAGCAGATAATTTGTGCTCTTTAAGTAGAAGTCGAGTTATAATTGGCATGTGGGCAGTTGCAAAAAAAAAAAAACAAAAAACAAAACAAAACAAAACAAAAAAACCTAAGTAGAAGTCGAGTTATAATTGGCATGTGGGCAGTTGCAAAAAAAAAACAAAAACAAAACAAAACAAAACAAAAAAAACAAAAACCTGGAGACACAGTGCCTGGATTCAAACTAGCATCCCTTTGTCTCTAATTTCATAGCTATAAAAATGAGGACAATATCTCCCTCATAATGTTATGATGATTGAAAGGGTTAAGATACTTTTAACAGTCCCTGGAGAGGGCATTGACTATGAAACTGGTTTTACTCTGTGGAACTCTCTAATGTCTAAATGGATTTGATTACAGTGAAAGGGAACCAGGTTAACCTGAAAAATATTCACATGTATTTGTTGTTATTAGAAAGTATAGTCAATATTACAATATGATAAACTCAGGAGGGACAATCTCTTGTTAGAAATGAAAAAGTGCAGGAAATCCACAATTTACCCTTTGGGTGAACTTGAATTCTGTCTCTGTTTATGCATTCCATCTTTTATAGCTGTTTTCCTGTCCTAGTTTTCATATAGTGGTTTTCTTTCTTTGGTGGTGCCTTTGAGGCAGTTAGCATACATACAGCTCATAAATTAAAATTTATGTCTGGTGGAAAGTCCTCCCCTTCTCAAACTGAAATTATCTATCTCTAATCAGCAAAATTTGTGACTATGTATGACATATTTATTTATATGTATTCCCCTTTTCTTTATATAAATGATAGCTTAATATGCCATTCTGAATTTAATGTTTCCTCATTTGTCCTAAGTGAAATAGTGAGAGACCATTTAGCACAATGAGAACTCTTGTTGCTTGCCTCCTCAGTAAAAGGGATAGTGCTTTTGGATATGTTTATATTTAGTGGTCCATGCAACAATAGAGAAGCCCAATATCATCCCTGGCTCTAGTGATAGAACATGACCTGGCACCTCTAGCCAAAACCATCAGATTTGTGGCTGATACAGTACTAAACCTAGTCCAAGTCTAAGAGTGATTCTGAGGTTCTTGGACTCCTGTACAGAATGCTAGTAAGGGTGGAGGTGTTCTTCCCTGCATGATAGGGGCAGTCAGTCACAAAGTCAAAGGGCTGCTTCTAGCATCTTGCTAATAAAATGGGCCACCGTTAGTGTGCAGTCAGAGCCTTTTCTGGTCTCTTCATTCCTGTGAGCCGATAATGATCACCCCGTTGTCAGCAGTTATTCTATGATTTCTGATGTTATTAGGGAAAAGCACTCCTTTCACGCATACCTTCCTCTTAAGTTCTAAGCATCTTGAACAAATTTACACTAAACAGTGGGTATGTTTATGGGCCTTTGGCTGGGAAAAAGTTTCCTGCCCTAACTGTGACAGGGATGGGGGAGAACAAAAGAGCCTAGGAGTAAAACTATCTTTTTATTAAGATAGGTAGAGTTAAGCCATTTTCAACAGAATTATTGTTCTTTATCCTGTGTCATAAAGATGCCTAAAGGGGAAAGAAGTAGAAAGTACAGCTGACTACCTCAACTCCCCCAGTCAGTTTCTGCTGGATGTTTATAACAACACTTTCCTGTGTTATTTGTCGTTATACTTGGATGCCTTGCCCAAAGGATGCTGTTCTGCCTAAGATTCTCTATCAGGAAATTCAGTTTGCCTGCCTTCATGAGGCTTCCTCAGTTGATTTCTGCTGGAGGCTTTTAGAGCCCAGTTTGATGATATTTTGATTCTGTCTGTCTGTCTCTCTCTCTCTCTCTCTCTCTCTCTCTCTCTCTCTCTCTCTCTGTTTTATATTTGGCTTACTCTCTACTTGATAAACTGCTTGATAACTGAAAGTGTGACTATTGTAGATCCTTCTCTGAAAGACAGAGAGCAAGGTCTGATGTGTTAATAACTTGGTCTTGCTCAATAGTGGCTGTTCTCTTTCATCTGACAGCCCTTTAAACAGTTTCTCAGGACTGGTTAATATTACCTGAGCATTAGTTATTCTTATTTCTATAAGTCAGAGACCACCCCCCACCCGGCTGAGAATAACCCATTTGAAGGTAGTTACAACCAAGTCCAGATGGGAGACATTAAATAACTCACTAAAGGTTACAAAGGTGACAGCCTCTGCATAGAAAGTCATTAATATACTTGTGTGTGCTGTTTTGTTTTCCTTACATGGTTTTGTAGGTGCTTTATTGATTTTCTCTAACATGACCTTTTAAGTAGGTCAAATTTCCACAGTTCTTGTACTCTTACTTAAAATATTTGGAAAATTAAATTTCAGGAGCTAACTAAAGTTACAATTGCTTGGGAGTAAAGATATCAATATGTATACAATTATGTCTGCATATCCATATATTTATGTCCAGATATATGTATATGTTTCACAAGATTATAGCCTGATGTTATCCTATAGATGTGATGAGTTACTTATTTGACTGAAACACAGTAATGTCTTGTTTTTTTTTTTTTCCCACCATAATGTTATTTGGGAATTTCACATAATGCACCTCTGTCGCACTCACTTCCCTGTCCTTCCAGGTCTTCTTCCCCGAGTTTCTTCTCCCACATAAAAGAAGAAAAGAAGTCTGATTTGTGTTGCCCATATACTCACAGGAGCATTGCCATTCCCCAAGTGGCCAGCCCTTTAAAGAAAACTGAGTCTTTCTTACATGCAGCCACACTGAAAGTCATCAATTGTGGAGAGCTACACTTCAGCATCCTTATCACAATTGTGTTTCTTTTATTTATTTAAATTAGAAACAAGCTTGCTTCACATGTCAATCCCAGCTCCCTCTCCTTCCCCTCCTTATCACAATTGTTAAGAATTCTCTTTGACGGCTTCCTGTCTAGGCTGTTGCTTTTTGGGGATGGGTGGTAGGGGATAGAGGTTGTCACAGAAGCCTTCTATCTCTCTCTCAACTGTGAGTCAGCAGTCATCAATACCACTGCAAGAGTAGCTTCCTTGCCCTTCACAGTCAGTGAGAGCATGGATCATGGACTTCCACATGGTTTCTGGCCACAGCACAGACCACAGACATCCACATGGCCTCTAGAGTCAGCATGTGTCATGGTCTTCAGCATGCTGTTGGGTCGCAGTATAGATCTCAGACATCAACATGGCCCTCTGTGACAGCGCAGGCCACAGACATCAACACGGCCTCCAGGGCATGGGCCACTGATACCAATATTGTCCCTAGCTGCAGTCCTGCCCATGAACATCAACATGGCTTCAGGCAACAGCACAGACCATGGACATCCACATTACCTTTGATGGCAATATAGATGACGGACATCAACATAGGTTTCTGCAGGAGCACAGACCACAGACATCCACACGACCTCTGGCCACTGACCACAACAAGGTCTCCAGTGGCACCTTAGACCATGGATATCAACCCTCAGCTGCTGCATGGACAATAGACACAGTCATGGTCCTCAACTGCAACACAGATCATGGATATTCACGTGGCCTTCAGTGGTAACACTGGCCACGGATATCAACACAACCCCCAGCAGGATACCCAGTAGGACCAAGGACTCCAACATGACCTCAATGACAGCATGGGCCATGAAAATCAACATAAGCTCATGAACTCCAACATGTACCTTGGCAGCAGCCCAGACCACAGATACCAACATGACCTATGGGGTAGCATGAACCATGGAGGTCTTTTGAGGAGGTCCAATCCAAAGAAATGAACCATTCTTCACCTCGGACATCTTGACATTTCTCAGAGTCAGGTGATCATGTGGGGCAGCATGCTCAGGGACTGAGTCTACACAAGCTGCAGCGTGTGCACACCACCCTGCCTCCCCTAATGTGTAACATGATCCACCATTGACCTTCTCTCACACCTGTCACCGCCATCTCTAGTTTCACTTCTCTCCAGGCAGCATACACTTCTCTGTTCCTCCATCGTTTCCATCTCTCCATTACATACATGTTTGATATAATGACATTGAAAACATTGATGAAATGACATTGATTTGTGTCATGCAGTATATTTATATAGTTTTCCTTCCCCCCACCCAAAAAAAAACCAGCTTTATGTGCAAATATTCATTGCAGCCAGTCATTGGTCTGATTCAAGGTTTCTGGTTTCTGAATTACTATAAATACTGAACCATTACTGAGGTTCATCTCGGATATCCCGCTGTTGCCCAGGGTCACAATGATCTTGCAGCTAGGCAGGGAATCAGGAGGCAGGTTCCATGAGAGCTCCAGGCTGCCACACATCTCAGCCTTTGTGCTTGCAGCCTGCAGGCAGCACCATTGCTCATGCTCTCAGTCTCCCAGCAGGGCAAACAGGGTGGGCTATAGCCACAGTGGCTTCATGCTGAGGGGTTGGAGGGCGGTATTCAGTAATGACATCTGGTTCTGCAGGATTAGCTCATCCTTGTACTCAAGCAGTTTATGGATGGAGTTGATGTTGGGTTGGACCAACTCAAAGTGCTGGGTCTCAGATTGGATGGCTGCACAGCTGGTCAGCTTTCTTGGGTCTTCCAGGTGGCACCTGCCTATGTGGTCCTTCCAGGTGGAGTAATATCTGTTTAATAATTAGTGCCTTGAAAAATGATTATAGCTACACCAAAGTAAATAAGAAGTTCTTTGATTTAACCTTGCTGGTGACCTTTATTATCTGATAAATGTTAAACAATATCAGCTGGATGTTGGGGGCACATGTCTTTAATCCCAGCATTCAGGGAGGCAGAGGCAGAAGGATCTCTGTGAGTTTGAGATCAGCCTGGTCTACAAGAGCTAGTTCCAGGACAGTCTCCAAAGCCACAGAGAAACCCTGTCTCAAAAAACCAAAAAGAAGTAAACAATATTATAAATATGTGTACAATAAATATAATTACAAATATAATACAGAATCATAAAACTACTGAAAAATACTCTAAACACATGTAAGTCTAAATATTAAATATTTCCATTCTTTATCTTCTCACATATATCTGAGCATATATTGATAATAAAAGCCATACATATGATCTTAGATATATTATAGATATTGTATAGATTTTATGTCATATTCATATTTAAATATTATCTATAAAATAGTGCACAATATCTCCTTGTTGCATTTTAATATTTACTAACCACATCACATATTATTTGGTTTGTTTAATTTAATATCACAAGTATTTTGTCACATCACTGAAAATCCTTCATGACATCATTGAAGTAACTGTCATTGACTCATAAAAAATGTATCAAATTTACCAAAAAGGAGTAATTTTCTGATTTGAGGTAATAATGTAGTCACTTGTCTTCTGAACATTTTGAACCACAGTAAGAATCACATTTTAAACTTTTTTTAAAAAAAAGATTTCTTTTTTACTCTATGTATATAGTGTTTTTCCAGCATGTATGTCTGGGCAACACTTGCATTTAGTGCCTTTTTTGGAGGCCAGAATGGTGAACTGAATCTCCCTGAACTGGAATTACAGACAATTGTTAGCCCCATGTGAGTGTTGAGAATTGAACTCAGTCCTCTGGAGGAGCAACCAGTGCTTTCAACTGCTGAGTCATCTCTCCAGCTCTAGGACTCATGTTTTAAATGGCAATCCACCACAACACGGGGAGATAAAAACACACACTAATGGGAATGTAATTTTATGCATCTATGGACCCAAACTTGAAGTAACTGTGATGATACTCTCCTTCCATTTTTCTCTCCCTATTTTTTTAAAATGTTATGCTCACTGAACTCTAATTTCAGTACCTCCAAAGCTTCAATTTGAAGTTTGCACATTGCATAGTGATATGGATAGAAAACTACTCACTTCATTACTTCCGCTGTTGGATATGTAAAGTAATTAAAATGTTTTCGCTTTAGAAATGATTCTGCAGCAAACCTTTTCCTCTGTTTCTCACAATCCTGTCTTAGATCCATAAGGAAGAAGAACTAGTGGCCAAATGGCCCTAAGACACAGAAATTGAATGTAGTAATGACTAGTGATTGTTAATGTATGGGGCTGTCTGGTTGAACAGTACCCTGTGTTGGATAATGCCAGCTGCTCATGTCGCCTGAGGAATACATACTGTACTGTTGTATTTACTTTGTAGATGGGTGCTCAGGGATGTGACAGAATCACAGCACAGAGCTTGGAGCAGCAGTGTTGGAAGCTGAAACAGACTTCCTATTCAAATCCCAGGCTTCCCTTTAGCTTGGAAGGAAGCCGAGGCCTGTGGTCATGTAGTAGCATATCAAGCTACAAACATGTGCCTCACAATTGCTGCTGGCTCTGTAGGAGAAATGTGTGGAGTGATGTGGAGGAGAGGCTCCACTCCATTTCAGTTTCTTATGAGTGACGTTGCAGAACATTTAGAGGTGTCAAGAATTCATAATTTCATTTTATTTTTATTTTTATTTTTTTGCATGTGACATGCTTTCTCTGTGTAGTCCTTGTTGTCTTGAATCTGGCTTTGTAGAGCATGCTGGCCTTGAACTCACAGATCTACCTCTCAAGTGTTATAATTAAAGATGTGTGCCACCATCACCCAGCAGAAATTCATAATTCTTTACATGAAAGAATATATAAATTAGAAAACAGACTTTTAAAAAGTCAGCAGAATCAAATTGTGTATATACATGCTGATATAAATTCGATTGGAAGGTAGTTAGTTATATGTCCAGGGTTACAACTTCAGGCTGAGAGCCACTGATATTGATTTCAAATAGTGGAGACTGAACAGATTGTAACCAGGACCCTTGACCTCACTAGCACTGAGAATGTTTTGAGTGACATAATTTCCTGTGCTCTTTAGATGCACATTTTAGTATCAACCCCTTTAAATGGAGGTAAGTCAAAGGGACAGCAGAGCCAAGTGAAACATTTCTTCTTGGTTTAAAATATAACAGTATGAGCAATATTATAAGTAGGGTCACACCAGCTTTTAATGCAAGATATAAAATAATAAATACCCTTGAGCCCATAGTGCTATAAATAAGTGTTGCATTTATTTATTACTGACTGGAGATGGAAGGACAGATTGTCCATGTAGAGTTCCAAATAACTAAGTTACCTCCTTTGCTGCCCTTACATGTGGCTTCTGCACAATGACCTCTTTCTAAAGAGCAGTGTTTTGCAAATGGAGAGACACAACTCTACGAAACTTGACAAATACCATTTTAGGCAGTCAGACAAGGTCAGTATCAACAATCATAAATCATTCTGACAGTCTGAACTCATTCTATGTGATGAAATAGCCCTCTCCCTCTGCACTCTTGCTTTCCCAAACCAATAACCCCAATTTAATCATTAGAGAACCATCATACAACTCCGAAGTGAAGGACATTTACCAAATACCTGAGCAGTACTTCCTCAAAACTGTCAAGATGTTTACAAATAAGGCAAGCCGAAGAAACTCAGTGTTAACAAGAGTCTAAGGCGACATTATGTCTAAATGAAATGTGGCCCAGGCTAAATGAGATGTAATCCTAAATGGGGTACTAGGTCAGAAAAAGGACATCTGGGTAAAACCCAAGGAAATCTGAATATAGCATGGAATTTAGTTAATAATAATGTGTCCATTCATTAGCTGGATTATTAACGTATTAGTTCATTAACTGCAATATTTACTCTACTAACTTAGGATGTAACAGAGGAAACTTTATGTCACATGGGATTTCTGTGCTATCTGCATTTGTGTGTAAGTGTAAAACATAGCTAATATTAAACAGTTGATATAAAATGAGCTAAACAGAAGAGATTTGTCACCAGACCATGGGAACAGTTGCAGATATTTGTGTGTATATTTCTCTTGTTCTGTTATACTCCAGTGAATATGAAGGCCTTTGCCATAAGGGAGTCATAGGACATGCACTTGGAGGTGACAGGAAGTGGAGGGGAGTGCATCTGTGCCAGGAGGTGCTGGAACTCTGATGTTAATAAAGGAGAAAGGTAAAGTGATGAGGTGATAAGAAAAGCTAGACTACATGCAACAGGACTTCAGTCCTGGGAAATCTACAGAATGTTTGAATGGGGCCCAGGGGAAGAACCCTCACACTGAAAACAGATGGGGTATATAGAAATTTGTCACAAACTTGGGGGATGCAACTTGCACCAAGAATTGTTTCCTATTTTGTTCACCTCTACCTCGAGCATGCTGAAGAGTGTTTGGCACATAGTGCACTTGATAGATATTCGTTAAATGAATGAGTGAAGTTGAACAGTATCTAGGGATGCCTTCAGTGAGAGCAAAAGCCCCTGGAGGGATCAGAAACAACAATAATAGAATTCTGTACACAGAAGAAAGTGTGTGTGTGTGTGTGTGTGTGTGTGTGTGTGTGTGTGTACATGAAAGCCAAAGATGCATAAAGTTGATAAAAATGGAATTCTTTAGCAATGAAAAACATTGCCTTAAATAACTCCCTCCTGACATTTCAAAGAAAATAGTTATGCCATTTAACAAAGCGGCACATCTAGAAAGTTTTCCCATAAATTTAACTGATATTTGAATGAAAATATTTTTTGTCAACACTGAATAACAGAGCTATTAGTTTGGGGTAATGCTTCCACTGTCTAGCTCCAGGGGGTGCCGCTTGTGTCATTTTCCATGAGCACTGGGTTGTCTACAAACAGCATTTCCTTTCAGCTTGAACTCATCAGTTACTTGTAGTAGCAATGTACTTATTTCAGAATTATTCTGACAGAAAAAACATTTAAACTCAGCTTCAATAGCATGAGCTACCTGGGAAATTCTCAGCAATGTGAATTACCTGGAGGTAATAATGGTAGAATTGGGAATTTGGTATAATGGACTGAAATGGGCTTGCTGATTTTCAAAATAAAAAATATTTGGTACTTTAAGGAACGATTGCTGGCTGCTAAGACCTCAGGTTTTAGAGGATTTATCCCTCAGTCCCACTCTCTTATCTAAAAGACTGATTAAATCATTAAGTCATCCTTTCATATATCTTAGTTACTTTTCTGTAACACATAATAAAGAGTCGACATCTTTCATTTTCTATTTGATTTATTTAAAAATGAGGAACTTAAAATACATATTGGGAAGGTGGGAGAGATGCTGAAAGTTAGTGCTAAAATTTATTTTAGTATATCCTGCTGTAAAAGCTTGAACTAAAGTAACATGAATATCTATCTATCTATCTATCTATCTATCTATCTATCTATCTATCTATCTATCTATCATCTATCTACTTCATCTGGCAATTCTAATGCTTATCTATATCATCTACCCATTTATCTATTATCTATATATCAAACATC